GTCCCCCTGACCTGAGTTGCAGGTTTTTTGGACCTAGGATCTGGAGTCTGAAGACCTCAATAAGTAGCACACCAGTTGGCGAGCAAGTGTGCAAGATCAGCGGGATTGCCCAGCTCCTGTACCACGCTGGAGCCAAGACCTGCCTAGGGAATCCAAAAGTCATAAACTGTAGAAACTGTCACACAGCGTTCAAACTATGCTCTGCTGATGGAAGCAGGATGTAAGATCCTAGGGCGCCCACAAGACCCACAATGCTGCCTTGTACAAGCTTCGGTCTGGCGCAGCGCTTTGGAACAGCGATCCATTAACAGCTGGAGTTTCCAAAGCATACACAGGACCACCTGCTTGGCTGGTTGTCCAACGGCCTTCGGCTTGTGGAATTTGTTTGAAACGGCTCCCTCTACTGGGCTGCTCCTGACTCGGACCCTTTCTGTGTCAACACTTGGGAAGAAAAGAAAATAGATGGGTCTGGAAAGCATTACATTAATTGAGGTAAGAAGAGTCAGAAAGACAAAAATCACATGCTCTCCCTCTCACGCAGATCCTCGCTTATAAAGTTTGTGCGGATGTGTGTAAGTGAGGCTGGTGTGGAGAGAGGTAATGAAACTAGAAAGGAGACCGCCAGCGGTGGAGGGGAAAGGTGCGAAGGGAAGAGGGGAAGGGAGATAGAACACAGGAGACAGGAAAGCAGGAGAAAGTGACGGGGAGTTGGTGGAAGGGTACAAGGAGACAACAACAAAAATTTGATTTAAAATATGCCACACTGATGCCAGGTATGGAGGCACAGGCCTTTAATGCCAGCACTCAGAAGGCAGAGACAAACTAATATCTGTTAGTTCAAATCTGGCCGCACAATGAGAACTTACTTTTTAAAAATAGTTATAGCGAAACCTAATAATGGGTGTACTAATTAAACAAATATTTAAAAATATATTTTAAAGGATCAGCTAGTTGCCATCTAAGGAACTGGCTGATAGAATTAATGAGTCAAGTACAATGTCCAAAATGAAACCAGGGGTGTTTCAGTGGGGGCTTTCTGGGATTTTTCTGGATCTGTTTCTGGGTGGCTCCTTACCCTTCTGCTTCTCATTCATCCATCGCTGAAGAAAAAGCGACAGCAACCCTGACCAAGGAGGTACAGGACAGTAGAGTTACCACATAATCTTCTAGGAATAATATTACCCAAAGTTCAGCTCTACAGGAAACAGACACGCATGAGAAACAAGAGGGCAGAGGTGTTCCAGAAAGGCAACCAGGACACATTTCCAAAGTTATCTTGAGAGGAAGAAAGGCAGCTATCCTGAGTGTCTTCTCCAGAGATGAGGTAAGCTCTGGGCTCAGACTGAAGAAAGTTCATGACCAAGTGGAGCGGGGACATACTTGAACAGAACACTTGGGTTCCTTTCTTTCCTCCTTCATTCTCCTTTTGTGTCTCTCCAGAGCTGGGTATGAAGGGAGCTGCAAAGGTGGGGGTGGGGTGGAAGACAAGAAAACCCTTCCTACAGAGCTCAGGGCCAGTCCTTCCGGTCCCCGGCAGGGATGTACATTCCTGCCAATCAAGCCCGAGAGATGAACGCAAGCCCACCATCCATCAACGGATCACACTTAAGTATCATCTGCGTCATGGTTCAAATGAGTCCAATTACTTTCTTCCTTGCCACAGGCATCGGACATAAGGACATCAAAACAGGAAATACTAATGAAATCTAGGCTGTTGAATGTAGCTTTAAAAATATTAGCCAAAATGGGCTTTGCCCTCTCTCCCCCTCCCCATCCTGAACTCACTAGCTCAGCTAAGGTCGGCACCTTCTGGCAACAGCCATCTATGCTGTAAACTACACTCAGGCTCGGAAGGGAGTGGTCCACCCTTAGAGAAGCAGCTGAGTCACCCTGCCCCAGTTCCCTCTTCTGAACTCTCCAGTCCAATAAATCATGACTGCTCTCTTGGGGAGACATGAGCAAAGGGCAGGGGGAGAGGCCAGGCTAGTAATCAGTACTGTAGCTCAAGTCTTGGGCACATGGAGTTTCTAGTAAGAGCAACCAGCAACCTCTCCTGGGAAGCCCCCATATATACTCCTGTTCCTTCCCTCGGCCACAGGGAAGTGGTGCTCAGCACACAGACCGAAGCGGACTTTGGGCTTTTCCAAAGCTCCTGGTTGCACCTGCCACAGCCTATATTTACCACGGCTGTTTTCTTTTCCTCTCCTGAGCTAAAATTTGAACTCCTGGAAGTCAAAGTTCATATTCATTATTTTAAAATTTATTTCTGCATCCCCAGAGCCTTGTATTGGTCCATAGTGGCTATTTCAGGACTGTTAGGAATGAATGGATGAACAGTCGGGTGACTAAAACCAATGAATAAAGAATAAAAGCACAGGATCCCGTAGAAGTAGGGTGCTGTAGTTTGAATACAAAGTGTCCCCCAAAGATGCTCATTCACTGAAGGCTTAGACCCCAGCTGGTGGTGCTGTTCTGGAAGATTCTAGAAGCCATAGGAATTGGAACCTGGAAGAAGTAGGTCAGAAGTAGGTTCCATGCTCTTGAGGGTTGTAGCTGGTCTTAAACTCCCACCTCACTTCTGCTCTCTGTGTTTTCTGGTCATACATTTCTACTACCATGATGCACTGCTTCCCAATAGGCCCAGAAACACAGACCCAAGTAACCATGGACTGAGCCCTTTGAAACCGTGAGCCAAGAGAATTCTTCCATTTAAATGTTCCCCTTAGGTATTCTGCTCACAGGACCGAAAGCTCCAAACCAGAGGCACCCCCCTCCCACGCATACCATTTGATCCAGTCTAACGGCAAAGCTGCCTTAGCTCTGGAGGGGGAGCGGGCCACCTTAGAGTCAATATCCCCCAGGATCTTGCACTAAAAAGACAATCAAGATGTGAATGAAAATCTTCAGAAACCAAGAGTTTCCCAAGTGACCTGAGCCCTCACTGGCATGCTGAAGGCTGGCACCATCCTTGGCCTGAGTGCTGGCCTCACATAGGCTTTTTCTTTATCTCCATATTGGTTTTTTCCCTTCTCTAGGTGGGTTAGAACTTTAGCTCATGCCTAAAGACTGCATCTGGGTGTCTCTAGCCCAGGGAAAGACAAAGACCGCTTTCAAAGTACAAGTCTTAGTAAAATCTAATCTCAACATTCCTACGCTAGACATACCTTTTTTTTTTTTTTTTTTTTTTTTTTTGCGCCTGACTTCAATAGCATTGTTGGTCATTCAGGTGTCAGAGATCATGTTAGATAAACACTGTTTGCTGTGTTTAATTAGGAGGGCAAAAGATAGAGTAGCTTGGACTTGAGCAGAAAGAAGAGCAGGAATAAGGGGAGCTATGAGCCCCGACATGTTCCCTGACATGTGTGATGTGGCAGCTAAGGCAGGACAATCAGTTCTGCCAGCTCCTACGGGCATCCCACCCCCATAGCAATTCTGACAAGTCCTATCATTTTTCTAACCTGCGGTTCTCTGCTGCCTGGAGATAATAAGTGCAAATTTAATAGGATGCTCATTGAAAATTAAATAACAACAAAATGTCAAATGCTTTCTCTAGTACTAAGCACATAGTATTTGACACTAGTACTTTTGAATTGTAGATATTGTTTTATTGTTGCCTTTTTTTTTTTTTCAGTTAAGATTCTCAAGAGAGGCAAGCAGCCAAGGAGAAAAGATGATTAACAGCTTCCAGGGGACCCACGCTGAAGTGGTAAAGCTGGAGTGACCCCTTGCTGGGGCACAGATGTGCAAGCCTCCAGATGTTCACACTGGACGAGTTTTCTGCAGAACGAAGGCGCTGAAACCCAAACAGGGTCTGGGAAAGTTGTACAAGCACAAAGTCAGTCAAGAGTGCAGGCACTGGTCTTAAATCAACTGCAAATAAAAGCCGCTGTAACCTGGACCTCTTGCTTCGGGAGTTTCTCCACTTCGTACAACGGAGTAGGAAAAGGAGGAGAAGTGAGGAGAACGGAGGGCAGGAGAAGAAAGGAGAGGAGGAAGAAGAGAGAGACAGAAGGAGGAGGGAGGGAGGAGGGGAGATTCTTTAAACACTCCTCCCCCAACTTCCTGCCTCCCTGGGGAGGGGAGACTCAACCCTTGGCCAGCAGCCATGAGAGGTCTCACAGGGATGCCTTGTGTCTGAGCTGCCATGGGCAGCCAAGGAGCATCGCTTTTGGTCCTAGGGGAAGCCATCCCTTGAGGAGGCTGCAGTGTGTCCACACACATTGTTCAATGAGGGCAGTAGCTCACACACATGGAGGATCACGAGGAACGACAGAGGCTGAGTCTAACCCCAGGGCTATTTTAGGCCAGACCCAGAACTGGAGTCATTGGAGGTTTTGTTTATGTAACATCTGCACAAGGCCCTTTGGAGCAAATAACCAGGGCCTCCGGGCCTGCGCTCCCTCGTCAAGCAGGGGCGTGGCTTCCAGCTTCCTGTTGCTCTTGGCGCAGCTTCCCTGCTGTTGTGGCTCCTCTCAGGGAGCTGTTTGCTGCCTTATAGCTAGCTCCCTTTCTAGGGTCAGGATGGTCAAAGCCGTAAGTAGCCATAAAGCTAGAAGACGTGGTACCTCAGGCACTACGCTCCAGAGAGTTGGCTTCTGATTCCAGGGTTTCCTGACATCCTCCTGTCCCGTGGTGCCCAACCTTAGCTGAGCAGCTTTCATGACAGGTCTAGGATGCTAGACAAAGAATTCTGTTCTGCATTCTGCAAGTAAAGATTGGAGTCCAGATCCATACCTGACCTTTGTTGTCTGGAACTGCTTAATCCAGAAGTTAGTTTTTACTTGAAACGTGTATGAACGCAGCGATGATTGGCTTCAGTACCTAGAGGGTACCCAAATGTAAGGATGCTCAAGTGCCTCATATGAAATGGACAGTGTTTGCATAAAACCCACACAATCTCTTGACTACCTGTATGTAGCACAGGATACAATGTAAGTGCTGTTATATTGCTTAGGGGAAAATGACCAGAAAAAAAAAAAAATAAAGACTGTGCGTGTTCAGAACAGACGCAGTTGTTTCTCATAAACATTTTGTCTGTGGGTGATTGACTCTAAGAAAGCAGAACAGACATATACAGAGGGTGACTACAAATATAATAGTACATGCCAGTTTTCTTTCAGGCCTTCTCAAGGGGCATCAAGAAGGTAGCTTTTCAAAATTCAGAGAATATCGTTACTTTGTACTTTATCATGGACTCTCTGTGTGCATGTCTCTGTGTGTGACAATTTTCTATACACATATAAATATATATGTGTATGTGTATATACATATAATGCATTTTAATTCACCCCTGCCACACACTCTCTTTTTGTCCCTCCCTTGCTGAACTCCAGATTCCTCCCAACCAGTCCCTCTACTACTTTCCTGTCATATTTTTCTTTTCTTATTTTCTCTTCCTACCCTAACTTGTTGCTCACTGAGTCTAATTAGTATTGTTGACATGAGCACGGATTGGGAAGGCATTTAGCAAAGTTTGGGCAACCCACCTGTGGCCAGGAGGAAAATGACTTCCCCTCCCCTAATAGCCTGTTAACTGACAAGAGCTCCTTGAGGAAGGGTAGGCCTCGTGAGCCCCTCCCCTACCAATGGCAGAACGTTGATGCGCTCTTTCGCAGCTACCACAGCTGCTGTGAGCTTATGAGTGCGATGGCCATGTCATCCTGAAGGTAGCACTTCACGTCACTCTTCCTCATCTTCTGACTCATATTTTCTTCTATTCCCTCTTCTGTGATGTTCTTTGGGCCTTGAAAGGAGAAATATAGATATTTCACTTAGAGCTGAATATTCAGAGTCATATATTCTTAGCACTTTGGCCTGTTGAGTCTCTGTCTGACCTGCTGTGGGAGGGCGGGGGGAAGGTGACTCCTCTGCCCAAGGCTAAGAACAGCATTATTCTATGGGTATAAAAATAAGTATTTAGGAAGCAACCTGTTCATTTAACAAAACAATTGTTGTTGATTCTCTGATAGGGTGTTGGCCTTCCCCCGCCATGGGCTTTTGACCAGGCTTACAGCATAGGACGTGAGTCCTCTCTTTCTGAGGACCTCAACTTCAATCTCAAAGTGGTTGACCGTCCCTATAGCAGTCATGTTACTATTTTACAAATGGTCATAGCTTGCCTTGAAGTTTAGTATTATAGCAGGCAGGGTGCATAGGTAGGTAAGGCCATGGAAGATTTTTCTTCCCCAGCAGCCTGGCACAATAGCTTCTACTCCCATGAACACTAACTGGGAGGGACCAATTCTGTGTCTTATAACCAAAGCTTGCAATAAGGTTACATCTTTTTTTAAAAGTGTATCCATTGGGAAATATTAGAGTCCAGGGCTCTCTTATAAGTTTAAATGAGATTTACATTCACAAAAATCTTACAAATCTTAAACGGGCAACTTGATAAGCTCGATTAGCTTCATAGACATGATATAAATACCCAGATCAAGGTATAAAATATTTCCGCTCATGTCTCCTTTTGTCCCTGTAGGGTCAATAGCCACTACCCCCCCACCCCCACCCTCCAACCTACCTATATTAACGTGATAGGGTTGACAAAACAAAATGCCATCAACTGGAAGATTTAATCAACAAACAGATTTCTCACAACTCTGCAGAGTAGACATCCAGGAACAGGGTATGGCCCGGCTGGGGTCTGGCGAGGGCTCTTCCTGGCTTGCAGATGATTGCCTGTTGTGAGCACAAATATGCACAGGGAGAGGAAAAGGCAAGCTCTCAGATACTGCTAGAAGCGTGATAATCCTATTAAGCTGGGACTCTAACTTGCTGGGCTCCTTTCACCTTGACTACTTTCATCAGGACACCAGGAGACCAGTGGCTAGGACTCCAACACACGCATCTGTGTACACACATAGGAAACAGTGCTGTTAGAACTCCCTACTGCGCCAGCCTGCGGCTGCAGCTACTACCTCACTTGGAAGAAACCCGTCAAAGGAGACTAGATAAGTAAGCATAGACACACTCATTCAATAGACTACGCTGTCTTAGCAGAAAGGAGTGGGTTACCCATGACCACATGGGGGTTACCCATGCCAACATACGTGCACGTGCCTGGATCAGTTCCCATGGCCACATCTGTTTCCATGGCCACATCTGTATCCATGCCCACACCTGTGCCCATGTCCACATCTGTGCCCATTTCTACATCTGTTCCCATGCCACATCTGTGCCCATGTCCACTCTGTATTCATGCCCATATCTGTACCCATGCCACATCTTTAGCCATGCCCACATATGTGTCCACACCCCACATCTGTGCCTGTGCCCATATCCATACCCATGTGAGTTTTTCCTTGAGCAGGATATGAATGAAGTATCTGCCAATTGTTCCTATTAGGAACGACTTTAATTTTTTCCTCATGTTTGAAGGCAAATGTTCAAGCCTCCAGGACCCTGCCTAACTGCTGATAATCTTCTCTTCAAGGGTAGAGAAAGGTGCCAGCTCCCTTGCAGGACTGCTTCCCAGCAGATCCTGATTAATGTGAAGCATAGTTTTCTTAGGGGAAGAACTCAACTTTGATTTTGGACTCTCTTATTCTTACTGAAACCCAATAGACTAGCCAGTTGACCAAGGAAAAACAGTTGTTTCAAATTAGGTGTAATTTTGAATTAAGCCAACATTGGCTTAATGCAGTTCAACTTAGATATTTTCCTCCACACGAGATGTTTCCCTAAGTCCTACAAAGATCAAAATTAGGTCTCACGCTTTGTAAAACATCAAAACAAGCTTGTTTTTGACAGTTGTACTGCCAGTTCACCGGGTTGAGAGGAGAGGCTTTTTATAAACATCATTTCTGTTGGGATAGGGAGTCTCCATTCACTCAGATAATAGATTTGGAAACCAAAGCAGTGAAGACATGAGCGTTCCACAGACAAGCCAAACTGCTTGCAGATCTGTAAGCTGTGCCGTTACCCCAGGCAGTGCATGGCTCTCCCTTCGCAGACGCTCCATTCTGGTTTGGGAAAGTCTGCTTTCTGTACAGGGGTCTCCCTCACCCGATACTCCTGTTTTCAGCTAAAGAATATGAAATGAGTCAGAAACAAAGAAGCCTGAGACACATGAGGACGAGCTAGCCATCAGAGAGCTAGCTCAAGTGCTAGATCTTTCTGGCCTGGCCAAATGACTAGAGGCAAGTTACTTCATGAGATCTGCCGTTCAGAAAACGGGTACAGTAATACTGACCTCTGGGCATTTAGTAAGAGTCCAGAAACGTACCCGTGGGATGTTAGAATAAAACGCTCCCCCCATTTAATAAATATCTGTGATGTGTCAGACGCTTTATCAATGGGAACATAATATAGACAAATGATTGCCGCCCCCTCCCGCCCCGCCCCACTCCTCCCTGGGAGCTCATGGTTGATAAGTAATCACCACTCTAATGAGCAAGTAAGAAGATGCTCCACCTAACTTATCATCAGGGAAATGCAGTAAAACCCACAAAGGTATAGGATACTGCCTCACACACTTTAGAAAGGTCTACTGTCAAAAACAAAGAAACAAACAACCCAGGAGATAAGATGCTGAGGGCATGGAGAAAGTGGGACCCTGACATACTGCTGGTGGTAATGTAAAATGGGGTGGCTGTTACAGAAAATAATATGGAGGTTCAACAAAACATTGAAATTAAAAAAAAAAAAAAAGAATCACCACACAGCAATTTTACTTGTGGGTATCTATCCAAAACAATTGAAATCAAGACCCCAAAGAGAACCTAGCATCCCTGTGCTCACTGTGGCATTACTGACGGTCGCTAAGAGGTGGAAGGCGCCCAAATGTTCATCAACAGATGAGCAGAGAAGGAAAATATTATATACAATTGAGCCTTTAAGGAATGATTGATTTTTGGTGTATTTGTGTGCGCCCATGCATGCTCGTGCCCAAGGAGGCCAGAAGAGGGCATTAAATGCCCCAAGCTGGAATTTCAGGTCATGGTAATCACCCTGTGGTGTGGGTGCTCTTACAGCCGAGCCACCTCTCCAGTCCCACAGCTCAGCTTTTGAAAAAGAAGGAAACATTGCCGCTTGTGAGGACCTACGTAACTCAGAGGATCGGGCAGTGGTTTGGGAGATGTAGGGCCTCCGTACATTTGAATGCTTGGTTCCCAGTTGAACTGCTTGGAAGAACGAAGAGATGTGAACCTTGTTGAAGGAGGTGTGTCACTGGGAGGTGGACTTCGAGGTTTCAAAAGCCCAGGCCAGGTCCATTCTTTATGCTCTCAGCTGCTGCTCCAACATCACGCCTGCCCAGTGCCATGCTCCCACCAAGATGGTTATAGAATAATCCTCAGAAACTGTAAGCAAGCACCCAATTAAATGCTTTCTTTTATAAGGAGTCTTGTTCATGGTGTTTTATCACAACAGTAGTACATAACTAAGGTAGGACAGCATGTCTAAAATGACCATGAGCACACAAGCAGAGGGTAGAGTAGTAGTTGAGAGATCTGGGAAAGGGGCGAGAGAAAAATGGAATGAGTTTTGACTGCAGGATGATGGTGTTCTAAACACCTGCTGTGTGATGTGGTCCCTCTGTACAGAGCATCCTTAAATATCTGTTAACATTACTCTTGTAGTATGGGAGATCCATCCCTGCCTATTGTCTGCCCTTAGGTGACATAAGCAAGGGAGAGATGCCCCGGCCCTTTTCCCCTTGCCACCAATGGTGGGCAGGAGAGCTGGCCCCGAAGTCAGCAGAGCGGGAGAGCAGGCCCTGCACCTAACCTGGGCAGCAGAGAAGAGCTGGCCCTGGATGTGGGAATTCCCCATGAGCCAGCCCTGAGGGCATGAGTGTGGGAGAGCTGGCCCTGCCTCTTATCTGCTAGATGTTGGCACAGATGAGCAGGAGATGGGCCCCAGTCATCTGTAGCAGGCAGGAGACAAGCCCCTGGGTCATGAGGGTGGGCGAATTGGCCATGTCCCTCACTGGCTGCAACATCTGGGAGAGTGTGTCCTGCACCTCGCCTGAAGAACAGGGTAGAGCTGCCTTGGTGGGGAAGGGGGTGGCTGGTGAGCCATCCCTGAGGGCGTGAGAATGGAAGAGCCAACAGGCTGACCAGCTCAGACATCTTTCAGGCCCAGATCCAGGGCTTTGAATTGGTCTACCCCAACATCTACCCCATCAATGGATGAACTGCTGAGCGCATAAATGGGCTGGTCCTACAGGTCCAAAACTATATAATCTCCATGAAAATAGGGCAACAACAGGATAGCCTAGAGGAGTCCCAGTGAGGTTCCAGTATATCTATACTAGCAGAAGACAGAAGCCTCGTTCCAGACTAAGGAGTCATTGCAATCAACATTTGCAATCAAAGAAGTGTGTGTGTGTGTGTGTGGGGGGGTATTCTGTGGGAAACTGACACATGACAACTTCCACAATGAGGTTTTTGTTTTCTCTGTTGGGGAAGATTGTAAGTGTGGGTGTGAGGGGAGGGGAAGATGAGTGAGATTGGGGTGCATGATGTGAAATCCACAAAGAACCAATAAAGAAACTTTTTTTAAAAAAAGATTTCTCTCATGTTAGTTATTCTTGCTGCAATTAGAAAAGATAAATACTTTAAATTTAGATTGTGGTAATGTTTACATACTTCTAAAAGTTTAATAAAATGCATTCAGTTATGGGTTTTGAGTGGGTTTGTGATATATAACTTATGCTACAATTAAGATGTTTTATAAGCAGTCATCATTAATTTAGTGGCCCCTTTTGTTAAAGTCTTTATTGTCACTCTTCCCTCTGTTGTTTACCATCAGCATGACTAAATAACTGTTAAGAAGCAACTATAGGAGAAAGAATATAATTTGGCTCATGATTTGAGAGGGTTCAGCTCCCGGCAGTGGGAAGGCTAACTCACCTCAGCAGTCAGAGAGCACAGAGGCTGAGGAGGAAGCAAGCTCCTGCCATGACCCTCAAAGCGTGCACCGTCAGTCACCCATCTCCTCCAACTGGGCTCCACCTTCCCAAAGGCTACACAGCCTCTCACCATGGCACTGCTAACTACGGATTAACTGTTCAAATACATAAACCTGGGAGGGACATTCTACCTCCAAACCCTAACACCCTCCCAACCCATCCTTTGCTTTCTTCACTTTCCTTCACAACCATCTTCTGGAACAATATACCTTGTCTTTTCTATATACTGAGCTCTAAGATGCAAGATTTTTTTCCCCCCACTTTAGCACTCATGACACTGATATGCACTCTGTAGCTAGAAGCAACTACTTAGCAGTGTTTTGTTTTGTTTTCCTTAATGGTACATAGAATTATAGTATGTCTTCTGTCACTGTCATTTTAGAGATAACAAGTTATAGCACTGTGATATTGCTTCTTATTTATTTTCCCCTCTAGAATATCTCCTCCTCAAGACAAAGGAATCTTGATTTTGTTTGTTGCTACACTCCCACCACCTAGAATAGTACCCATAGTAGGTCCTCAACAAACATTTAAAGAAAGAAGGAATAAATGAATGAATGAACACATGACATGTCTATTGTCAATTGACCGATAATGAAACAAGTGAATGGTTTAATGAAAAAGAAGCCTTTTTTTCTCACCTCTTCTGTTCCCAAGATACTGGGAAGGTAACCCTCCTGATGAAAAGCCTTGTTGGAGACTCCTCTACTCATCCTCCGGTTAAGGGAAGCTGGATGGAGTTCACTGTGGAACATGTAGGCAATGTGCACAGGGCTTTGGTTCAGTCCCAGCACTGAGAAAAAATAAAACAAAATAAGCAAAAATTTAAAAAATTACAGTAACCCTGAACCTGGGCTTTTGGGTTAAGTAGCAACCCTGTAGCTACTTAATTGGATTTTTTTTTCTTACCTTCCTAAACCACCCCTACCCCTTAAAATCTCCCAACACTAGGTAGGAGTGAAAGAAAATTAGAGGGGAAAGTGTGCCTTAGACTACCTGCTGATCAGGGGCATTGAGTTCCTTGAGGCAAATTTGATCTTTATTATCAGAATATCTTCAAGTAGCAATCAATCCAGGAAACAGCAACCAGCAACAGAAGCAAACAGCAGCAGCAGCAGCAACAGGAGCAAACAGTAACCAACAATAGCAGCAACAACAAGAGCAGCAGCAGCAGCAACAGGAGCTGCACTCTTGAGGCTCTGGCTTTGTTGCACCAATTTGAATTCCAAACGTAAACTATCTTCAGCTGGCAAAATCACACTGCTGCCAGAGCACCAGACAAATCATAGTTAGCTGCTGTGGTCAATCTGAAGCAGCTCTATATCCCACACCTGGATTAAAACAAAAACATATCCATATAACATTTCTGTGTTTCTAAAGAAACCAAAATTCTCGCTACCCAACCTGGAAGAAACATCCCTATGGGCAGTTCTCATGGTTAGCTCAGCCCCAGCAGCTGTTGTCCAGGAAGCCTTACCACCGGCACAACAACCCATTCATTCATTCAGCAAATGTTCCAGAGACCCTGAAGTTGCTCTGCCCTGTAGTTTAAGTGTCTGCCCTGGTCCCAGGAGGTCCAGCAATATCTCAAGCACATCTTAAGGATGCAGGTTCACCTGCCCTCAAACATAGAGGCCCCCAAGAGCAGCCACCTCCTGCTTCTGATTTTTTTTTTTTTTTTTGAGGAGCCGGAGGGTGGATAGGAGAGCAAGTATTGTCTCTGACAGTCTTGGGGCCCAGTGTCAGGTGTCACACAGGTTTCTGTCTGTTTCACAGCACCTGGTCCCACCTTGCTGGTTTGACTGCCTTCAGTTTCAAGAAGCAGCTATATCGTACCTTTCTCAGCATCTCTCTGGAAGGACCATAGTCCATGAAGGAAAAAATCCCATTCGAGAGCAAGGTAAAATATCTCTTGTCACAGAGACCCATTTTGCAAACAGCCTCAAGTTAATAGAGTTCACACTCCATTCTTTAGCTCCCTGGCCATCACTTACCCATCGTGCTCCAGGCCTAACATGTTTGGGGGTGCCTAGCATACTTAGGAGGTAAAGGGATATTAACTCTTTAAAATGCAGTAGGGGGGAAAAAGGAAATTTTAGGTTATCAAATGTTTTTATTTAGTCCTAATCTGAAAACAAATGTTTTAGTATGTATAAAAATCTATTAGATTTTTCCCAAATCAAAACTAGATGTAATGTTGTAGGGATTGAAGTTTATATAATAAAAGTTCATATTGACATTTTTAAGGAGAGGAAGGCCCATGAAACTCACATTGTATTCTTGATGCTACTTTGAGAAAAATGACTTGTCATAGTAGGAGACCTTTTAGTTCTAGGGTATTCGCAGTTCCAGCAAACAACTCTGGAGGTCACATAAGTGCCCCAGATTTTAGGCATGTTATCTCATTTCAGTGAGACTTTCAGTAACTTTAGAAGCCCAAACAATTTTACTGAGTTTAAGGACTGTTAATCCACCTCGAAATCTACATCCTTCAATATCTCCCTTTATTTAAAAAAAAAAATGATGATGCCAGGGAGATGGCTCAATGAGTAAAGTGGGTGGGGGCTCCCCTTCTCTGAGGATTAGGGGAGGGAGGATAGGGGAAACAGGGAGGGAAGGTGGGACCAGGAGGAGGGAGTGGATTATGACCAGGATGTATAATGAAAAAATAAAAATTAAAACTGAAAAAAAAAAAAAAAGGTCAGGGTTATAGGTATAGGAGCCATCACTCCTTTCTTAGTTTTCCCGTCAAATTAGAATCAGAGGACTGAGGCTATAGCTCACTGGGAGAGCAATTGCTAAGAATGTAGCAGACCCTGGAATCAGGCCCTGATACTGTTAAATAAACAAATAAGAACCAGAAAGACAGATTCTGACAGAGACCCGTTTTTGCTTCCAGAATGTTCTGACTTTGTTCTAAGATGCACCTGTGGTCTTGAGGTCATGATTACCTAGGGCAGCCTGCCTTGGAGAAACATGTGGTTTTTATTTTTTTAAAAAACATGTTTCATGTGTGCAGAGGTAATTTAAAAGCACATTTCACAATCAGACTTGATTGTATTGGCCTCTGTGCCAACACACCCACGCTGTCTTGAGAATGTGGCCCCAGGGAAGTTCAATTAGGAAAACCAGAAAATGAAGCTTGCCCATTGCAGACAATCCTGCTCCATCTTTCCCAGAAAAATAGTGCGCTGGCTGCAAAGGGACTGGCTTCTCCTTTAGATAATTGGGTCCTCTCACATCCCCATGCTCGTGAACACTGCTATGAGAAGGGTCTGTCATTGTGCTGGGTGTTGAGGGAATCCCGTTTCCAATAGAGAGATCTAGTCTTGGACTTGTCACTCTTAAGCTAATGAAGGCAGCCATCTTGGCCTAAGCTACCAAAGCCTTTCCAGGACTGCTAAGAGGCTTTGGAGAGCCATGTGTCCAGTTATATCCCCCCTCTCCTCAGCACCCCTGACTGCCTATCTCCCTCAAAACAAAGCCAAGTTCACATCCTAAGCCAGGTACTCTGCTTTTCTATCCTGACTCTGTCCCCTGCTTCTCGTTCACTCTGCTCTGACCACTCTGGCTTATGTCCTTCTTCCAAAGCTGGCCTAACACACCCCAGCATCAAGGGCTCTCTATTTGCTATTCCATCAGCCAAGAGTGCTCATTCCTGATGTCCACATGTCCTTCTT